TCAAGCTTGTGTCGGGATGAACTGATGATGTTAAACGGGTCACGGTGAGTCTGTGTTTCTTCCTCCTGCTGTGATCTGAGCTCCTCTTCCTCAGTTATTATCTCACACTCTGCATTCATACACACACCTCCTACAGTCAGCGGCACACGCGTGTGTCCTTGAGCCGTCCAGAGCTCAGTGAACAGGGACATTCGCTCCTTGAGAAGGTGGAACTGTGTTCAAATCAGGTTTGTTTGCAATGAACAAATCAAACAAAAGTAACAAACAAAAGCTTCAAGTGTTTTCCACAAATTCAACTAAAAATGCAACTTTTAATGACTTAAAACCCCCTCACTACAGCTCAGATCTGCAGGACAGGAGTCGTCTCACTCATCAAGGGCCTCATGAGCTGCACCAGGTGTGCTTGAGCTACAACACATGAAATATATCTGAACTGGAGAGGTTTTTTGAGGATCACGTTTGACTGTGTGTTAGAAATATGGTCTGAATGTTAAGAGAAGATATCATTACCCTTCACAAACAAGGAAGAGGTTATAAAAAGATAGCGTTATGTCTGGAGGAAGAAGAATGAAGCGCTGTGATGAACACGGCCTGCAGTTCAGCGTGTGGAGCTCGTCATGCTCTACTGCAGAACAGTAAAAGTTGTTCTACTAAGTGCTAAATATGCTTGTCGTGAACTGCAAAAGTCATTAAAAGTTGAACTTTCAGGCGAATTTGTGTTGAGCTTTTTCATTTGATTTGTTCATTGCAAACAGCTGAAAGTCTGTAAATTTAGCCTGATTTGCAATCATTTTGATGGCAACTAATCATTTACATAGGAACCCTATATAATACATACTAGAGCCAGACCGATATATCGGCAGACCGATATTATCGGCCGATATTAGGCATTTTCCAAAGTATCGGTATCGGCAGTTATAATGGCCGATAAATGAATATTTCAAAAATAAAATAAAAACGGACGAAACACGCTTGAACCATGTCATGAGTGTTGGAGTTGTATAGTTTGTCCACCAGAGGGCGCTCTACACCGTTCCTGTTGGCAACACTCGTTGAGTTGGTCACGATACATACATTGCTTGAATAACAAGTAAAAGAACATTCCCATCAGTTCTCTGAACTCAAATAAGCAGGACAAAATTTGTGACCATCATGTCCAAATATCGGCCAATATATGGGAATTTATATATGGGATTTTAAAACTCAAAAATATTTGTATCGGTATCGACCTTCAAAATCCTTTATTGGTCGGCCTCTAATACATACACTCTTGACAATGCTGGGTTGTTTTAACCCAAATTTGGGTAAAATATGGACAAACTCAAATGTTGGGTTAAAAAATGTAATTTCAAATTTTAACCCAACCCAACTTTCACTTTCAACTGTACATTTTTTTTATTGCATTTTTAACCCAACATTTGGGTTTGTCAATATTTGACCCAAATTTGGGTTGAAACAACCCAGCCTTTTTTAGAGTTTTATTTTTTCATTTAAATAAATGAAATTAAAGTAAAAGTAGCTCCACTTGCTCCACTCCACATCTACCAAAACAAAAAAACATAAATGTGAATCTAATTATGAACACTAGATGACTCGTTTGTGGTGTGGTTAGTGTTTCTGAACGTCATTTTGTCTCTGAAGCGTGTCGTGTGCAGAAGCTTCTGGAGATTAATCCTCTCAGGCCCGAGCAGAACCACAGCTGCGCCAGGATGAGTTATTCTCCGGGTTTTGGGGTTCGGATACAATGCAGAGAGCTTTTCTCTGCGTAAGACGCTCACAAAGGGGTTTATGAAAATCATAATTACTGCAATAAGCCCTCGGGAGCTCAACCGGCTCGCTTCTTCTAGAGAGTTTGAGTGTGTGAACACTGCAGATGGCTTTTTCGTTTAGTCTTGTAACATGAGAGCGCACACTTTACATTAAGAGTCTTGATTTGTTCTAGTGCACGTTATATTACTTCACGCCTTTATTGCGTCATGTTTTATAAGATGTTAGGAACAGGCATGCCTAAACGAGCTTTTAATCAGACGTCATTCAGCTCGAGAACCGCAGAAACACAAGGGTGTGTGTGTGAGAGCGCCTCGGTTGCGCTCGCTGCCAACTCGCTTTGCTTCAAGCTGTTAGCGGTTTGCAGTCCAAGCTGTTCTGATCGTTCTCACTCTCGACGTGGTGCTTCTTCCCACAGGAGCGTTTCATTGCTCTTTCAAAGCTTAAAGTCACTGTCAAATCAAAGCTGACAATTGTGTGTGTGTGTGTTTTAAAATCGCAATGTTTGTGATAAATTATTTATCCGTTTAAATTCATGTTCCTGGTAATATTGAATTCTCTGATGACGTGGGCGGGGCTATAGCCTGTCACTCACTTGAGATCAGCTAATAGCAAACCACAATCATCTTCACAATCATCGCCCTCAAATTCACAAACACACTATGCAGCACAGGCTCCTCCCCCTCATGCATAGACATGTCCATATTCAAAATGACCACACCCCTATCATTAT